GTAGACAGAGTAGGGGGCACAGTAGCATATTCTGGGATCTGGGCTTCTTCAGGTTAGTCAGGAAGGTCAAAGAATCAATAAGTTGAGGGCATGGAAGGAATCATACTTCTTCAAATTCATCAGTCTTGTAGAGATTTGGGACCTCGCCGGAGCTGAGAATGTTGTTAATGTCCTCTAGGAATGATTCGTCAGCAATTTGGGTATCCACAAAAAGGAAGGATGTAGCTTTGAGTTCTACCCCAGTTTGCCGGTATAGACGCTTGATATCTGGGCCAGATGAGAAAAGGAGAAGGGAACAGACAGACTCTTCAGGTTCACCTGCCCATCTCTTATTCCTCTTCCAAGATTTAGGTATCTTACCCCAGCCTTCAACACATACACACATCATGCTATACTCCACATGGGCCTGGCACAGCTCACTATCTGGCTTCCATCCTTCCTCTCTCTTGTCATTGCAGCAAGTCAGGCATCTGATCTTTCACTCCTAGCCCCAAACCCTCTCCTGTTTCAGAAACCCAGCCATACCTTCTCGGAACTCTTGCTTCCGGTAATGTTTGTTGACTTCAATCTGGAAGGTGATGTACTCACAGATTGATGAGGCCAAGCGGGCCAGACTCTGGCGCCCACTGCCCCCAATGCCCACCAAGAGCATGTTGCCCCGAGGCTGTCCAATGACCCGCACAATCCTTGTGACTAGGGGTAGGGAGGTGGGGGATAAGGGCAATGAGTTGGCTGAGCAACCTCAGGGGACCTCCAGGCCCTAGACTAGGGACTGGGATACCTGAAGCTGAAATAGAGGGACCAAGAGGTGTGGAAAGAGGTTAGTATCTGAAGCCCTGGTGGCAATTCAACTTTTAACCTCTACCATGTCTGTTAGACACCGTTGTTAAGAAAAAGTCCCACCCATTGCCACAAGGGCATCTGGAGCCAGGAAGGAAGGTAACTTCTGGAAGAGACCTGGGAAGGAATCCATATTTCCTTGGAAATACCACATAAATTGGGAGGCTGGGGAAGGAGATGGGAATAGGAAATGCTCACTGTGTTCAATAGCCTCTCGGAAGAGCACCAGATTCATTGGCACGACAGAAGGTGACAGATTGTACTCCTTTAGGGCCGTCTCCATGGCTGTCTTCAGCACGGTCAGATCAGTTAGGTCTTCATACACCTTGGGCTCCCTCAAGAAGTCCCCTGGGTCATGGGAAGAGGGGGTCAGAGTCTCAAATGCCTGGTCTTCCCCACACTTCCCCAAAGAGCTCTAAGCATCAGGTCTCCATGCCCAACCCTCATTCTATCCCATCTCCAGAGTCTCCAGCCTATAGTAGCACAGCTCCCAGCTCACCAAAGATAGGAGAACGTTTGTTGGGACAAAGATTATGAAATGTGAGGTCAAAGAAGGAGCCGAGTTTGTCACTTAAGATAGTCACAAAAGCTTCTGTGTCTGCCGTGTCAACCAATCGGTCAGAGAAGACTCTGTTGGGAGGGAGTTGGGGTGAGATCTAAGAATAAGGAGACTGACCCTAGGAAAAGGAGCATCAGGGTGGGGTTAGAAGCAGGGCTTGGAGCAAGGCTGCTGAAATCTGGATCTGGAGGGACACGCACATCTCACCTGAAACATTCATGGATCCAGAGCCGTGTAATGCTGGACTTGGTGTCGTGGAAGTCCTTGTTGGCTCTGAGCATGCCCTGAAATACCTGGGGAAGAGGCATGCTAGTGATATGGAGGAAGGAAAGAGATTTCCTTCAGAAATTTTAGCGGTCAGGTCAGAGAATGCAGCATTCGAGGATGCAGGTGATTTGGGGTCTATCAAATGCTACTGAGCTCCAAGGTTTACTTGAGAAGAGAATACCTGTAAGAAAGCTGTGCCAGGCAAAAGGGGCAAGTCAGATAGAGTTTTACCTTGGAGATATCTCGAAGGTTGAAGAGGTAATGGATCTTGGCAGGTGTGGGCAGGAAGCGTTGGACCACAGTGTTGTACACATCTAAAGTGGCCTCAGTCACCACGTTCCCAATGGGCTTCACCTCTTCCTCAAAGTCCTGAAGCTTCTGATTGATCATGGTGCCAAATATCCGGATGATCTGAGACTCCTAGAAAAAGGCCTCTGATTAACTTTCACAAGTTCCTGGCTTTTTAGCCAGGACTGGGACAGGGTGAAGTGAATGAAGCACTCGTCTTGGGGAACAATTTAAGAAGCACACAAAAAAACAAAAAACAAAAACCTCCTCAGAAATCAAGAGAAATAACATTTTAATGCAATATTTAAAAATCAGCCCTAGCCTGTTTTGCTCAGTGGATAGTGTTGGCCTACAACTGAAGAGTCCCAGGTTCAATTCCAGTCAGGGGCACATGCCTGAATTGCAGGCACCATCCAGTAGGGAGAGCATGCAGGAGGCAGCCGATCAATAATGTTTCTATCTCTCTCTCCCTCTCCCTTCCTCTCTGAAATCAATAAAAATATTTTTTAAAAAAAAATCAAAATTAGGCTCTAGCCAGTTTGTCTCAATGGATAGAGCATTGGGCCAAAAGGGTCCCAGGTTCGATTCTGGTCAAGGGCACATACCTTGGTTGCAGGTTCCTCCCAGGCTTGGGCCCTGGGAGGGGCTCGTGAAGGAGGCAACCAATCGACGTGTTTCTCTCACATGGATGTTTCTCTCTGTCTTTCCCTCTCTCTTCCACTGTTCCTTAAAAAAAAATCAATGGAAAAATATTCTCTAGTGAGGATTAACAAACAAACAAAAACCAAAATTAGAACTTCCTAATGGCAGTGTAGGTAAATGCTGTACTTGAATCCTCCCACAACCACATAAATAATACAACTAAACTACAGAACCACCATCATTCAGAACCACCTGAAATCTAGCTGAATGAAAGTCATACGACGATGGATTTAAAGAAGAAGCCACATGGAGACTGGTAGGAGGAGCAGAGACACTGAATAGGCTGTTCCCACATCATGTGTGTCAGTTTAAAATCGGGAGGGATATCTTGGCTGTGGAGGTTACCCTTTGAGGAGCAAGGGGTTCCAGCCCCACACCTGACCCCCGCCCCTAGTCCAGGGTTCCAGTGCCAGGAAGACAAGTCCCCATAACTTCTGGCTATAAAAACCAGTGGATATTGAGGCTGAGAGAGACGGAAGGCTGCTGGGGTTCCAGGCAGTTCCTCTTAAAGGGCCCAAGCACAGACTTACTTGGACTTACTCCCTCTGAGCTCCAATGCTGGGCAGCAGCTTGAAAGGAACCAGGGATATATGGGGAGAAACTGAAATGTCTGGCATCAGGGTGAGAGCTGGAGAGGAGCAGCTTTCTGCCAGACAAAACGCTGACAGAGACCATCATTCCTTTTCTGAAACGCGCCCCCCACCAACACACATACACACACAGGACTGACAGACAGAGCCATATCTGAGTCTCCATCAACCTGGCTCACACTGTTTGCCCTGCCCTAGTGATTCCCTGAGACACTGGCCCACCCAACTTGCAGGCCCACCCAAGCAATTCCCAGTGGCTTTCCCATACAATGGCCTCTTGCCTCATGCTTCAGACTTTTGTAAAATCTCTCAAACAAGCAGCATCTGGCTTCTATGTACCCGCTACCTCTTGCTAAGTGGCTCCAGGCCCAGCACTAGTAGAAGCCTGCCTTGGTTCACAGCTTGGCCTCTCCTGGGTACCTCCAAGCACAATACAAGTAGCAGCCATGTGCAGATTACTCTGTACCTTGTGTCCTCCAGGCAGGACACAGGCAGTGGCTGACTTTGTGCCTCCAAGAGGCCCCAGAGCCAGCGTACCTGGTGGACAGTTTCAGACCACACCAGATTACAACCCTACCATCTCCATGAGCAACACATACTCAAGGTGAGCACCAAAGCCCTACTAAAGTAAGTCCTGCTCCATAGAGTTGACTCTTGCACAATAGCTCTTCAACTGTAGTTGTAGCTGGTCATCACAGACAGTCCTCACAGCTGATCAGCCTGGAGAGGTCAATCCCTCCCAGTGATGCCAACAGCAATCAAGGCTCAATTACAACAGGACAGTGCACACAGCCCACACAGGGGCACACCTGGAGTGCCCAGCTTGGGTGACTGGAGAGGTTGCACCACTGGGCCCTACAGGATACCTACTACACAAGGCCATTCTACCAAGTCTGGGAGACGTAGCAGCTCTACCTAATATAGGGAAGCAGCCAAAATTCAGTGACAAAGAAAACAGGTCCCAAATAAAAGAAAGGGATAAATCACCAGAAAAAGAATGAAATGAAATGGAGGATAGCAAGCTACCAGATACATAGTTCAAAACAATGGTTAGAAGGATGCTCAAGGAACTTAGTGAGAACTTCAACAGTATGAAAAAGGACATAGAAACAATAAAAAAGTACCAGTGAGAAATGAAGGATACACTAACTGAAATGAAGAATAATTTACAGTGAATCAACAGAGTAGATGATGCCAACAACCAAATCAGTGATTTGCAATATAAGGAAACAAAAAATACCCAATCAGAACAGAAAAAAGAAAAGAGAATCCAAATGAAGATAGTGTAAGGAGCCTCTGGGACTTCAAGCGTACCAATATTCACATCATGGGGTACCAAAAGGAGAAGAGAGAAAACAAGAAATTGAATATCTATTTGAAAAAAATAATGTCAGAAAACTTCCCTTACTTGAAGAAAATAGACATACAAATCCAGGAAGCACAGAGAGTTTCAAACAAGATGAACCCGAAGAGTCTCCCACCACGATGCATCATAATTAAATCTTAAAAGCAGCAAGAGAAAAGCAGTTAGCTACCTACAAGGGAGCTTCCAATAAGACTGTCAGCTGATTTCTCAACAGAAACTTTGCAGGCCAGAAGGGAGTGGCAAGAAATATTCAAAGTGATGAAAAGCAAGGACCTACAACCAAGATTACTCTACTCAGAAAAACTATACTTTAGAATTGAAGGTCATTAAAGAGCTTCCTGACAAGAAAAAGCTAAAACAGTTTATCACCACCAAACTATTATTACATGAAATGTTAAAAGGTCTTCTTTAAGAAAAAAAAAAGATTAAAAATATGAACAATAAAATGGCAATAAATACATATCTATCAACAATTGCATCTAAAAATCAAATAAATAAACAAGCAGAACAGAAACAGACTCATAGATACGAAGAACATTTTGACAGTTGCCAGATGGGAGGAGGTGTGGAGGATGAGTGAATAAGATGAAGAAATTTAGAAGTACAAATAGTTAAAGAATAGTTATGGGAATGTAAAGTACAGCATAGGGAATATAGTCAACAATATTCTAATAACTACATATGGTGTCAGCTGGGTACAAGATTTATCAGGATGATCACTTAGTAAGTTAAATAATGTCTGGGTTGTACATCTCAAACTACTATAATATTGTATTTCAATTGTACAGTGGGGCCTTGACTTACGAGTTTAATTTGTTACGTGACGGAGCTCGTAACTCAAATTACTCGTATGTCAAATCAACAGTGAATGAATGAGACATGTGAAGCTGGGCTGATGTTGTGGCGTTCACTGTGACGTTCGCTGCGCCAACTAGCGGTGGGGTATCTGAAGCTGGCTCGTAACCCGAATTTTAGCTCGCAACTCAAAGCAAAAAATCGGCCGAGAGACGGCTCATATCTCGAAAAACTCGTTAGTCGGGACACTCATCAGTCAAGGCCCCACTGTAATTGAAAAATTGAAAAATGATCTGAAAAATTTAAATTAATGCAAAATACCTATGATGAACAAATCCCAACATTTTAAATAAAAATGGGATTAGTATTTATTGATTTTTATTTTTGCCTCAGGCTCAAATATGGCTCAGCATGGTACTGTGCCAATCTTGTATTTATTTTAAATTTTTGTATTTTGTTCATAATGAAGTTTTGCGCTTACTTTTGAAAAAAATTGCATTAAAATGTTATTTACCTTGATTACTGAATATCTGTGGCAGCCCTGAGTGCTCACTGGCCACACCCTAATCCTGGCAATGCTCTAGCTCTCAGCCTTGTAGGATTTTCCTTCCTGAGCCTATTCTGGACCCCCTGCATTCTCTGCCCACTGGACAATGAGGCTTGACATTCAGAGCCAGCAAGCTATACTTCCATCCTGTGGCTCTCCTGGCGGAGAAGCGGAGGTTTCTACAGATGGCAGTCTCCCCTCCACATATTACAGCTCCCTATATGCGGCTCTGCTCAAGGGGTCCCCAAGCCCCTCCTTGATCTGCCCCTCATTTTCTAGGACACAGATGGCTTTGCCTTCTACAGTTCCCCCTCTGCTAGTCCCAGTTGCCCTCACTGTGGGGAAGGTCATGTTGATGATGTTGAAGCGACTCTGCAGCCTTGAGGAGATGACAGTCCGTCCACCCCCGGAAGGGCCCATGGCAGCCATCAGGAACATGTCCTAGAGAGCAAAGACAAGATCAGACAGAGAGACATGTGAGAAGAGGGGATGAGAGGAGGCAAAGAAATACGGACGATGTAAAAGGAGCCAGGAGGACGAGAGGACACGGAGGGACCAATGGGAAGAGGGACAGGGACAGAATCAGCAGGAAGAGACATGGAGTAAGGGGGCAGGGAAAGGTAAAGCGATGACAGGGATTAGGGACATTGTTTTAGAATTATTAAAGTGACGTATTTGTTTTTATTTCGTCATTATAATGCATGTACCCAAATTAGGAAATAGAGGTAAGTTAAAAACCAACATTTAGTTATGTCTTCTAGACTTTTTTTCAGGTATATATATTCAATCCACATGTGTGCATGTATATATTCTCAGAAACATATGAATATGTTACTTATAGGTGAGTTTTTGGCCCTGAGTGCCAGGTAGATGACCGCCCTGGAAATCAGGCTGGAATGGCTGCTGTCCCTTGACTCAGGAAAAAGAAACAAACAAGATGCCCAGAATCCCATGGGAGAAGAGCCAGGACTGAAGGGAGATGCCCGGATCCTGGGTGGGGAGCAGAGAACTGATACCATGGGGGTGTTTACTACAACAATGGGAGACAGAGAAGGCCTGGAGAGGGGAGTTGTAGACTCTGGGCACCTAGACCCGTGGTCGGCAAACTGCGGCTCACGAGCCACATGCGGCCCTTTGGCTCCTTGAGTGCGGCTCTCCCACAAAATACCATGTGTGGGCGCGCGTACAGTGCGATTGAAACTTCATGGCCCATGTGCAGAAGTCAGTTTTCGGCCTGGGCGAGTCTACTTTGAAGAAGTACTGTTGATATTTGGCTCTGTTGACTAATGAATTTGCAGACCACTGACCTAGACAGTTCTGGGTGGCACAAGGTTGGCGTGTAAGCATGGTATTAGAGGCCTGGAAAAGGAGTGGAAGTTAGAGGACAGTATCCTTTGGTCAGAGTCAATGAAGAGAGTTAATAATAGGAACTAATAATTTAGGAGCCAGTTATCTCAGTCCTGAGAAAGGCAGGATATTCCTGTAGAAAGGAACATAAGCTTATGGTATTGTATCCTGACATCCCAGTGGAGGGGGGACTGGGCCTATCATGGGAGGAAACAGAGAACAAATACTGCAGATGCTTACTCGAATGTACTTGACGGTCTGCTTCAAACGATCGTACCAGAAGCCATAGTCAATCCAGAGGCGAAGCAGTTCCAGGGGTGGCTGAGACCCAAACATGTCCTTAGCTGGCATATTTAGTTCATCCATAAAGGTGATCATGCTTTTGCCCCCAAATGGCACGTAGACACCCTTGGTTCGCTTCTCCACCCTGCTCTCAATGATGCTCTGCACATTATTAGATGTGGTCTGGTGAAAAGGGTACAGAATGAATACTTAGGTCTTCCAAGAGAAATACGGGTTAGAGAGGAGTGTCAATCAAGTACTTGGATCCCAAAAGAGAGCGGAAGGCATAGAGAGAGAGTGGGAAGAGGGCAGCCTGGAACCTGTAACACACCTGTGCAGACATGTTGACAACGAGCACTGACCACTGGCTGGAGGGCAAGGACTGCAGAACACTCTGGGCAATGGAGGTCTTCCCAGTCCCCACGGGACCCACCAGCAGGACGGGATTCTGGTTGGTCACCAAGGTTCTCACCAAGTGGTTGTAGCGAACAGTGTCGACAGTAGGCACCATGATCTTATAGAAGGGGGAACTAGGAAGGAAAAGTAATTGTGTCTCAAGGAACATTGGCCCACTACTCTCTAATTCTCCCTTCATTCTGCCTCCCTGTGTTTATCTTCCTTGGGCATCACTACTCTCTGATTGCCAACCCTGCCTCCTGTGGGGCCTGGGGATCAGACCTTCTCCTTAGGCTCCTGTCCCATTTCCCCTCCATCCCATTTCCGATACCCAAGAGTCATCTCTGCTCTGGGGTCCACTCTCTCCTTTCTATGGATCACTTTCGCTTCTATGCCCAGCTCTCTCACCACATCTCCCACCAACCGCAGCCCCAAGTTTGAACCACCCCCAAGTCTGAACCACCCTCAAGGCCTGCCTCTCACTTTAAAGGGTAGCGCCAACTCTTAGGGAGCTTTTCCTCAAATGATGTCCAACTCTTCATCTTGGGGTCCACAAAATACTCATACACCGTGTCCTGAAGAAGGAATGTGTGTCAGGTTACAAGCCTTCCTTGAGTTCCCCCCTGCCCAGACAAAAATGCTCACAGACCACTGGTGAAAGAAAGAGAGCTGGGTTGGCAGGCTGAGACTCAAGAAGAGAGTGAGAATCGGGGATACAGGCGGGTTCTGGAAAAATAGAACAGCTGGTTTGGGGGCCCTGACCTTATTAGGAAAAGAGCCCTCAATCTCTCGGAGGTAACTGTCAATCTTCTTGCGGCCTTCCTCATCCACAGAAGCACACACAGACCAGATCATGCTGAACACAAATGTCAACTCTACCATGTAGATATAGTTTTCACCATCAGCTGGGTTCACCTGGATGGAAAAAGAAAAGAGAAAATATCCTAAATCTATATGAGATAGAGGGATCTACTTTGGCAAATCATCACAAAGGCTTAGAGTTTTCCTCCTTTCCTGGATCTGTTTGGGAAACTATATGGGTGTAGACAAACCTAAGTCTAAAATCTATATTATAAAAGGCCAGTGGGGAAACCGAGATGGCGGCATAGGTAAACACCTGAAATTGCTGCCTCGCACAACCACTTCAAAAATACAACTAAAAGACAAAACGGACATCATCCAGAACCACAGGAAGGCTGGCTGAGTGGAAATTCTACAACTAGAAGAAAAGAGAAAAGCACACTGAGACTCAGAGGAGCTGCGGAAGTAAAGTGCAGAGGTACGGAGGTGCACACAGAAAGGGCTGGCAACTGAGGACGCGGTTGTTTTTTTCAATCAGGAGGGAGACACACGCTCCCACTCTGAACTCCAATTCCGGGCGAGTCTCTGGGGTACCCAGACTCATATGGGGAGAAACTGGACTGTCTGGCATCAGGCGGAACTCGAGGGCAGCTTTCTCTCAGAGGTGCTTGCAGCGATTACTGCGGGACACTGAGACCCTGGACCTCTTGGGGCAGGACTGAGGATCAGCCATAGCTGTTTGCTCCACCCTGTTGACTCCCTCAGACCCCG